CGCCAGTTTAAAAACCAACCAACCCGTGATTCTGACTCACAGCGACCTCATGTGTTACAGAGTAGAACATGGGGTCGATCACCAGTTTATAACCTGCTTTTTTCACTTAACCTATGATACAAACATTTTCCCAGGTCATTAAATTACTTTAATGGATGGGTATTATTCCATCCTTGGGACATGGCATAATGCACTTAACACTATGCTACTGTTGGACATTTAGGTTGTTTTCAATTTTTGACTGTTATAAATAACCCATGATAAGTAACTCTGTGCATAAAATTCTGGAGTTCACACCCTTCCCCGCCCCATATTCGGGTTGCTGTTATTGTTACTTTCTTTGGCTAGATTCCCAAGGTAGCAATCCTGAGTCAAAGAAGAGAACAAGGTTTTGGGTGTTCCCTTCAAAGGCCAAGGCTGTTTTTGTTTTGCTTTGTTAATTGTGGTAAATATATTTGTAACAAAACATTTGCCATGTCAACATTCTTCACATGTATAGTTCAGCAGCATTATGTTCATCATGTTGTTCACCTTTCAATGTGAATGTACAAATCTAAGTAAGAATTCTATGCCAGGTGAGAACTGAAATTGGCATTAAGTATAGAGTAGCCTCCAATGGCTTCTTCGAGGACAATCAAGGGCTGACAGTCATTTTTTAAATAACAGCTTTATTAAGAGAAAATGCACATACCATAAAGTTCACCCTTTTCAAGTGTACAATACCATGGTTTTTAATACATTCAGAGTTGCACAACCATCACCACAATCAATTTCAGAACACTTTCATCACCCTAAAAAGAAACCCTCTACCCATTAGCACTCACTCTCCATTCCCTCCTCTCCCCCAGCCCTAGGCAAACACAGATCTACTTTCTGTCTCTATGGATTTTCACTGTCTAGAAATTTCATATAAATAGACTCATATATAATCTGTGGCCTTTTGTGGCTGGCTTCCTTCACTTCGCCATGTTTTACAACATGGTCCATCCATGTTGTAGCATGTATCAGAACGTCATTCCTTTTTATGGCTGAAAAATATTCCATTGTATGGATATACCACTTTTTATTTATCCACTCATCATTTGGTGGACATTTGGGTTGTTTCCACTTTCTGGCTATCATGAATAATGCTGCTATGAACATTCGTGTACAGATTTTTGCATGGACATGTTTCCATTTCTTGGGGTACATACCTAGGAGTGGAATTGCTACATCATACAGTAACTCTATGTTTAACCTTTTGGGGAACTGCCTGACTGTTTTCCAAAGTGGCTGCACCAATTTACAATTCCATCAGCAATATATGAGAATTTCAATTTTACCAGCTCCTCCCTAACACTTGTTATCGTCTGCCTTTATTTTAGCCATTGTATTGGGTGTGAAGTGGTGTCTCACAGTGGTTTTGATTCGTATTTCCCTAACGACTAATGATCAGTTCCTGGAGAAGGACATCATGCTTGGTAAAGTGGGGGGTCAGCAAAAAAGAGGAAGACCCTCAACGAGATGGACTGACATAGTGGCTGCAACAATGGGTTCAAGCATAACAATGATTGTGAGGATGGCAAAGGACCAGGCAGTGTTTCGTTCTGTTGTACACAGAATGGCTATGAGTTGGAAGCAACTCGATGGCACCAAACAACAAATAACAACAACAATGACTAATGATGTTGAGCATTTTTCCACTTGTATATCTTCATTGGAGTATTTGTCTTTCTATTGTTGAGTTGTAAGAATTCTTTATATATTCTGATTACAAGTCCCTTATAAGATACACGATTTGCAAATATTTTCTCCCATTCTATAGGCAGTCTTTTATCTTTCTTAATGGTGCTTTGAATTATAAATGTTTTGAATTTTGATGAGTCTAATTTATCTGTTTTTTTTCCTTATTACTTGTACTTTTAGTTTCATGTCTAAGAAACCATCGCTTAACCCATGTCACAAAGATTTATTGCTATGTCTTCTATGTTCCTGTGTTCTTAGAAGATGTTTCCTTTACCCAGGAAACCAAGATGAAAGCCTCAGCCAGTGGTGGTTCCCATAGCTCTTTTCTGCAGTGGAGATTTAGGTATCTTCCCCCATTGTCATCATTGGATCCTGGTGAAGTTCCAAGTACTTAAAGGATATCTGTGCTCAATTCAGTCATACACCCTGGTGGGGTTTACCAGTATGCTGTTTAGTTATGTACATCCAGTTGTGTTCCATAAGGAGTGAGGGGGCTGATGTTCCTGTAGATTCTACCTCATTTCAGGAGGCAGGAGAGCTAGTGGGTGGCAGGTGAAAGGCATGGGCTACCTGAAGGTCACCTTGATCTGATTTTGTCTTCATCCCGCCACTTGGTTTTGGAAGGCAAGACATCTTAGCCCAGAGTTCTTTAAATTGCCATTGGAATTCATGTAGGAGGGACAATGATGTCTACATTGTTTGGG